TGTCCATGTTCTCCTTGCACAGCGTAAAGTGGCAGTACTGGCCCTGCGAGTGGCGGTCATCGTCGCGCCGCCCACCATGTCGAAACCCGGGTGCAACACGCTCCTTGGACACGCTGCTGCCCTCACGTGTCACCTCAAGTCGATACCCGCGTGCCTCATCCCCGCCAGCACTGCTGCTGCTGCTGGTGGTGGTGGTGGCGGTGGCGGTGGCGGCGCTGTTGCCCTTTGACGCCGTGTCGGCCGTTGCCTCGGCCACGGCTGCCGGCATGAGCGGGTCGTCCATATCCGGGGTGAGCGTGCGGGAGTAGAGGTGCGGGAACACCTCCTTGATGAGGGTGTGCAGCCGTGTGCGCTCGTCACGGTCATCGCTGCAGGAGACGATCACCCGCTCCTTGCGCGGGTGGTAGCACATCTGCACCAGCGCCTCCACCTCCTCCAACGTGAGAAGACCCTCCAGCTTGTCGATGGCGTCCTTGTTGAAGCTCAGTTTCCCGCGGTTTGTCGGCAGCTCGCCCTCTGGCGGCACCGTCGTCGTCAGCTGTGCTAGCTCGCCGTTGGGCATCACCTCCGTCACGTGGAAGTCGGAGTAGCGCTGCTTGATGACGCCGCTGAAGCCCTTGTGGGTGCTGATAAACTCCGTGATGAACACCTGGCAGCAGCATCGGCAGGCGAGGCGAAGTGAGGTGTGAGGTGTGACGGTTGTGTTGCACAGTGCAGAGGTGAGGGAGTAGCTCTTTCCGTGACTGTGTTGACTGCGTGCTCTGTAACACACACACACACACACACACACTGCAGGGTTCACGCACGTCTTCATCTGTCAGTGGCTTCAGCTGCACGTAGGGTGCGTTGGCTGCCGGCCAGAAGTCGGTAGATACGGCCATGGTGTCATCGTCATCATCGGTAGTCCGTGCCACCTTGGCGCGCTTCATGGCAGGCTCTCCGCTGTCGATCTAAAGTGGTGGTGGCGGTGTCAATGAATCAAGGTGTAAGCACAAAGGCAAGCCAAGAAAGAACTTGTGAGCAAAGCTGGGCGATCTCTCGTCGCTTCGTACCATCACCAACAGCAGCGATCGCGCCCGATGGCACAGAGGCACACTCACACACATCCATTCATGCATGATGTCCTTTGTTCGTGTGCACTGCACACTAATCCTCCACGTACATCATCGTCGTGGCGATGCTGCTGATCTTGCAACAGGGCATCCCGGACGTTGGCTGGAAGCACAGCTGACACAGCACTGGAGAACCAGTTCCCCATGATGAGGATCACAACTCGTTGTTTGCTGTGGTGGTGTTGTTGTTGGTGTGTCGCGTGTGTTGTGGATGGTCGTGGGTGGTGCAGCGTGGGTTGTGAAGATTGGTGGACGATTCCCGACAAGTTTCGCCGGCGCAGTTACGGCTGCCACTGCGATTGCGTTCTTGTTGGTGGTGAGTTGTGGTGGTTGATTGTGGCAGCTGCTCATTCTCAACTCGACGAGGCAATAGCGACGAGTGCAGCAGCGACACGAGATGGACGACGACGCCACGGCGCACGTGAAGCGCCCGCGCATCTTGATGATTGGCCGGTACATGTACCGCACCAACCTGCCGCCACTGGACGAGCGCGTTGCACCGTACATGGAAGACGACCACCTTGGCATGGACGCGGAGGAGGACGTGGCGGTGGAAACGCTGGAGAGCGGCGTGCTGCGTTGCGAAATCGACGTTCCGCGCGCCCTACATGGCCTGGTCATCGGTCGAGGAGGGGCCAAGATATCGGGCATCGAGAAGGACACGCAGACGCGCATCAAGGCGCCCGGTAAGCGGAGCAAGAAAACCACGTTCGTGCTGGAGGCAGACAGCATGGAGAACCTGGACTCTGCGCGCACACGGTTGCAGCTGGCCATGGACGATGCCATGAAGAAATGCGCGCCCACCCACTTTGTCTCCATCCCACTGACATCGCCACAGCTCACCGAGGCGCTGGACACCTTCTCCCAGACGGTCATGCAGGCATGCGGCAACTCCCCAGTGCGTATCTGCTTGCAGTTGTGTATGCATGCGTGTGTGCGTGTGTGTGTGTGTGTGCCTAAGTGGAAAGGAAGCAATGTGCCTGTATGTGTATGCATGTGTGTGTATGTGTGTATGTGCATGTGTGTGTCCGTCTCTCTCTCTCTGTCTCTCTCTCTCTCTCTCTCTCTCTCTCTCTCTCTCTCTCTCTCTCTCTCTCTCTCTCTCTCTCTCTCTCTCTCTCTCTCTCTCTCTCTCTCTCTCTCTCTCTCTCTCTCTCTCTCTCTCTCTCTCTCCTACTCGCACAGCCACGTCTCACGACTGTTCGACCTCTTTCATGGCAAATGCAGGGGCTGACAAAGGAGCTGTTCATTGACAAGGCCAGTTTCCACCTGACGCTCGGCGTCATGAAGTTGTTCACAGAGGCGGATATCGAGCGGGCAAAGGAGCTGCTCGAAGGCATCCGGCGCGACTGCGGGGAGCTGTTGCCCACCACCGACCGCACCATCACCATCCGCGGTCTCGATATCATGCAGCCCGCACCGGAGCAGGTGGGAGGAGGGTGATGCTGCTCCGTGTGTGTGTGTGTGTGTGTGTGTGTGTGTGTGTGTGTGTGTGTGTGTGTGTGTGTGTGTGTGTGTGTGTGTGTGTTGGTTGGTTACTCGGTGGATCAAGCCCATGCCCCTCGCTGCTGCTTTCTACCATCAACCGCACCCATGCACGATCCACAACTTCATTGTACACCACACCTTGCTTTCCCTCTCCTCAGCACACATACCTCACTTCTCCCCATTCATCGCCACTGCAACCACGCCACCCCCAACTTCTCACCTCCTGCTCAACCGCAGGCCCACGTGCTGTATGCGCGTGCGTCCCTGGGCGCGTCAGATGCCCTGCAGGCGTTTGCTGACGCCGTGGCTGCGCGCTACCACCAGGCAGGCCTCTTTGACGAGCCAGAGGTCAAGCTCCACGCCACGCTCATCAACACAAAGTTCCGCAGAGCTGTCACTGCCGGTGCGTCGCTGTAGCGCGGTTGCAAACGTGTGTGTGGGGGGGGAGGGGGAGGTCATGTTGTTTGTTCGTGATTGTGTGTGTGTGTCTGTGTCTGTGTGTCTCTGTGTCTGTGTCTGTGCGTGTGTGTGCCTGTGTGTGTCTGTATAGCTGCTTCCATCTCCCTCCATGCTCCTCCATTGCACTCCTCACACAACACCATCACCGCCACTACCGCCGCCAGGTCGGCGCCCGAAGCGGGTTGCGTTTGATGCGAGCAAGATCCTGCAGCAGCTCGGCTCGCACGAGTTTGGCACGTGTGCGCTGGAGGAGGTGCACCTGTCGCGCATGTCACGCCGCGACGGCGAGTACTACATCCCGGAGCACGTGGTGGACGTGTCGTGTGCCGATGCAACAGCCACGCCCGCCGTGGACGCAGAGGCGATGGCGACAGCAGCCACGGCAGAAGTGGCTGAGACGGAGAGTGGAGACACGGATGTGGCGGTTGAGAGAGGTGAAAGTTCAGCAGCATTACAGCAGCGGCAGCGGGAGGGAGACGATGCGTTGCGGCAGCGGAGTGGAGAATCCGTCAACTGGGACGACGAGCCCGGCTGCGGATGAGAGAGTGTCCGTGTCATGTGTGTCCGTGTGTGTGTGTCTGTGTGTCTGTGTGTGTGTGTGTGTGTGTGTGTGTCTGTGTCTGTGTCTGTGTCTGTCATATGTACACAACAAAACAAGGAAGCGACCGTCATGTCGCATGCCATGTCTGCCACGCATAAACCATAACTGAATTCAGTCGCAACAAGAGAAGAAGGACAACAATGCGTGCTGTTGTGCAGCGAGTTGTGCGAGCCAGTGTGGCTGGTGAGTGCGTTTGTGCTTCAGCCGCATACTTGCGTGTGTTCTTCTTGTGTGCGTGTGTAGTTGATTGCGCGTGCTGTCAATCGCACTGCAAGCACTGATACGCCAACCCTTTGCGCTACGTTGTTGCCCCTTGAGTGCTGTAGTTGGGGATGAAGTGGTGAGCCAGATTGACCGGGGTTTGTGTGTCCTGGTGGGCATCACCCACGACGACACGCCCGCGGACATCGACTACATCGCCAAGAAGATCCTCACGCTGCGCCTGTTCGAGGACGAGAACGGCAAGATGTGGAAGAAGAGTGCCCAGGACCTGGACTTGGATGTGCTCTGCGTGAGCCAGTTTACCCTCTACGCCAAGTGCAAGAAGGCCAAGCCCGACTTTCACATGGCCATGCCCGGCAGTGCCTCCAAGGAGTTTTACGAGTCGTTCCTCCACAAGATCCGCTCAGACTACCGCGAGGACAAAGTCAAGGGTCAGTTTGTATGTGTTTGTGGGGGGAGGGGACTGTCTGTTTGTGTGTGTGTGTGTGTGTGTGTGTGTGTGTGTGTGTGTGTGTGTGTGTGTGTGTGTGTGTGTGTGTGTGTGTGTGTGTTGTGTTGTGTGTCGTGTCTACCTGTGTGTGTGTGTGTTGTGTTGTGTGTGTGTGTGTGTGTGTGTGTGTGTGCTGTTCTTCGCGGAACTGTGCCACCCTCCAAGTTTGCGAGTGGACTCACCAGTTCTACGTCCTGCTTGCATGTGCTGCTGTGGATGTTGTGGTATCCACAGATGGCGAGTTTGGCGCGTACATGAAGGTGGACATTGTCAACGATGGGCCAGTCACCATCATGCTCGACTCAAACCAGCGCGAACCAGGTGTGGCAGATCAGCGCGCGTGTGCAGGTCTCTATGTGCTGTATGTGTGCGTGTATGCGTCTGTATGCGTCTGCATGTGCCTGTATGCGTCTGCAAGTGGCTGAATGCGTCTGTGTGTGTCTGTACGTATGTTTGTATGCGTGTTTGTCTGTACATGTGTGTGCACCTCTGTGGTCTGCATTTTTCTCTGTTTGCCGCTTACACGCCACCCTTCTTTACCATGCTCTTCCCGCTCGTCTGTTTGCGCTTGTCCCCTCCCTCTCAAGTTGGCAAGCCAGCACCAAAGGAGGATGCCGACGCAGAGGCAAGCTCCTCCAGCAAGACGAAATGAAGCAACCATAGGCGAGCGCATGCACAACCACGTACACACGACCACACAATCACACACACACACACAATCACACCACACATGCACCATCACACTCACACACACGCACCATCACACACACACACGCACCATCACACACACACACACGCACCATCACACACACGCACCATCACACACACACACCACGCATGCACCGATGCCTCGCAGGCTTGTTCATCCATTGTCTCTGTTTTGTGGTCTCTTTCCACTGTTGTGGGGCAACGTGTCATGCATAACGAAACCAGAGAGAAAGCACGCAGCAAACAGATGAACGAAAGCCAGAGCGATAACACACGCAAGAATCAACAAGCAAGAGAGGGAAATGGGAGGATGCAAGCACGCAATGCAAGCGTGCAAGTATAAGTGCCAGTGCAAACCCATGAAACCAAAGACAGAACACAAGGAAAGGACAACAAAGAAAACAAGGCATGGTGTGAGTGCCGCAAGAGATGCGGGATCGAGACACGGGCACATGTGCTGGCGCGCAAACACGGATGCAACAGCGCCATGATCGCCGCCAGCGAGTGTTAGGCGGCCATGCACGGGAACTCTGCCCAGTGCGCGTACTGCTGGGCGTATTTGCTGAGGCACGGGCAGCAGGCACGCATGGTGAAGGGGCTGGGAGCGTTGTACAGCCCGTTCATCAGACACATCAGCCGGAATGCCTCGTTCTCTTCACCTGTGTGAGACAATGAGATTGAGTGTGTGTGTGTGTATGTGTGTGTGTGTGTGTGTGTGTGTGTGTGTGTGTGTGTGTGTGTGTGTGTGTGTGTGTGTGTGTGTGACGGTGTGCGTGTGTGTGTGTGTGTGTGTGACGGTGTACACTGTCATACTCATTTGTGTGTTCAAGTAAGTGCATGCCAATCACCCTCTTCTGCTATCACTTCGGCCCCCCCTCCCCCTCATCACAGCACGCCATGCTCACCGTAGCGCTTGGCGCACTGGTCAATGGTGGTAGTGATCTGGGAGCTGCACCCGGCCCAGCGCTGATAGCCGCACTCGTCTGCATCAGGATATCGGCCTGTAGGGAGGAAGGGAATGAGGAAGGGAACGAGGAAGATTGTGAGTGGAACGGGTGAATTGGGAAAGGTAGAGGTTGCCCCTCCACATCATCAAGGCATGCACACACACACACACACACACACACACACACATCCTTACCCGCCTTCCCAGAATATACAACCACCCCCCCTCCCTTTTTTCCAATTTCATGGGTTTGGCTGATGGGGAAGCAAGCCCCTGCGGTGGGGAGAAAAAAGGGTTGTGAAGAAAAGCACCGTCCGCGGGGGGAATGCGTGTTAAGGAATTTAATCCTCCCCCCCCAGGGGGAAAAAACCCCGGGGCAACCTTTGGGGGGGTTGCTGCTGCTTTGGTCATCCCCCGGGGTACCGCGGTGTCAAAAAAAAAATAAAAATAAAATAGAAAACACGGTCGCGTGGCCCTGGGTTTTGGCCCTGTCGGCGC